TTTCTATATCTGTCTTGAAAACACATACATACAAATAAATAAAGCATTTAAAAGTTGAAATGTTCTTGCAAATGACATTGAATCAAAGGAATTATTTTAGATTTTACATGGGGACACAGAGAAAAAGAAATCAAACTCCGAGCTTACTGCTATTCTCGAGTAATGCTCCTCTCCTGCACGAAAAGCCTTTGCTTCATCTTCCTTTTTGGCTCTTCTTAGCCTGTTCCAACTTTGGTCATCAGTATATAAACTTCTACCCTTATAATAGTGATAGAAGAGTCCCTTAATTCTAGTACTTCTTTCTGTTCACTTCCAAGTTACCATCCTGAGCTAGTTTTCTCCCATGAAAATATGTATTTTGGTTTCCATGTGCAAAAATGATGCTGCTGTTGAAGGGAAGGTGGAGAAAAAGCAGCTTAGTAGACAAGTGCAGGTCTTGGGAACTGAGAGAACAAAATTAATTAAATCAAGTTTTCTTTCCTTTGGTGTCAAATTATTTGGATAGTCCTATGTTACTAACATCCCACTTTCTAAAAAAGAGACAAGCAATAGTGGGCAAAAATCATTAAAGAGTTTGATACATCTGTTAAGACTAACACATTTTATTATAAGGCAAAAACTTTTCATGATTAATTATTTCTGATTTTTGGTTACTGTTTGTAACCAAACAGTTTGAAAAGTATGTTATTCTTACTGATGGCAGCATCTGACCAATCTTTTCTGGGCTCAGAAACTTGCATACTAAGTTAATAGATAGCATTAGGATGTAAACTAGACTATTTTTAAAAAAATCTAGAAAGACAGCAGTAGAAAACCACTTCCACACTGTAACTAAAATAATCTGTATGCAAGATCGATGAAGACACTAGGGGACAACATGAACTCAAAAGAGACTTTACTTACACATGCACAATTTTGAATTAAGGGTTAAAGTTACTCTGTGCTACAGAAAAAAATATGTATTTAGCTGTTTGGCGTTTAGAGATGTAAAACAACCCACCTTATCTACATGCCCCATTCATTCATGTCCGTGATATGAAGAAATAGGAATTTGAATGAATGAAAGTGCACCAACAAAAAAAAAATATTAAACTTTTTTGAACTGCTTAGTTTGATAAGCATTACTTTTGCACTTAGAAAAGGGTTGGAGGAATGACGTAGTGCATAATTTATAGAAATATCAAATAAAATGATGAGAAAGAATGCAGAGAAATTGTTAGTGTGCAAAGATGCATTTTTAATTTTGATGTCATTCAGGCTGCGCTTGTGCATTTTTTAAAAAATTACTGTAGTATGTAAAGCAAAGACCATTATTTTGACCTAATTCTGGGAGGTCTCTCTCATATATTCATAACTTAATTAATATCCATGACCATTATAAGAGTCAGAATACTACTTCAATATTCTATTAGACTCGATGGAGAAAGAAATCAATGTAATTCAAACAAATGGAGGACAAAATAAATTGGACTGCAAATGTGAAATCCAGCAGATGATAATACCTTTCTTGCACATTTTCCCTAGCTTTTGTCTGCAACATGTTTAATAGCCAAAACTGTATGTAAAGTATGGGGAATGTGTAAAAGACATGACTTGCAGCACTTTGGATTCAAAAGGTGTTTGGCCACATGGGACACTCACATACCAATTGCAGAACACTCCTTAGAGTAGTATCATTAAAGTAGCTATGTCTTTTTCTGGGATCATGCTCTACTTAAAGAGGCAGCTATTTTAAAGATTTGGTCACACATGATATTTGACTTCCTAAATGTGCTTCTAAGTATCCTTTCCTCCTTTGAATCAAAAATGCTGTACAGTCCTAATTAGTAAATTCCTAGCATTTTTAATGAAGCCAATATTTTCCCATGCACAGTACCAGCTACTCTATACATAATATATTAAGTAATTGCTAAGCACAAAGCCTATTGTTAAGTTTCTCCAAACATACGCTATCAAAACAGCATTCCATAAAAAAGAGAAAAGTAAATAATGTTACAAGTTGTTAACATGCTAGCCTAAACATCTTTGTGGCAAAAAAAGAGTTTTACCTATGAAATGGACATTATGTATAATCTCCAAATGTTACTTGGATTGGCCTTTGCTGCTTTGTTGCCTAATCTCTCAAATCCACAATTATATCCAAAAATCTATAAATATTGATGCCCAGAAATTCCTTTTTGCTGCCTTTTTCAGACAAAAGTCTGAAGATCTGCTTTCTCCATTAACATAACTGAAAATATTGTGAGTGGTAATGTGGCATGTTCCTTTAAAGAAATTTCAGTAGATCAAATTTGCTCTGCATGAAATCTTATGCCATTTTTAACTCTAGCTCAGAAAATGGATTATGTCTTTTAAAAAAATTTCATTACCTAATTATCAACTCAAATGATTGATTTCTTTATAAATTTTGCAGGAAACATATAATCTAGTCCTAAAAATATTAATGTAGAACTAAGTCTCACTGCTTTCAGCAGAAACACTGCCAAATTCAAGTGGATTCCAATCTAAACTTAGAATTCTTTATTTAGACCTTTTCATTGAAAGCAATATTGTCAGCTGTATTACTCAGATCACTGGAACAAAAACTCCTGGTTCAAATGACTTTGTAATATCACAGCAAGGTGGAGTTCCTGAGATGAATGATATAAATTTAATGTCCACTTGACATTAGTGCTTTCTGAGATTATTTTTAAAAAAACTGGCACACAATCCTTTCAGAATTTCCTAGAACAAGCAAACACTTTACAACTAATTATTCCATTTTAGAATTGCAACTAGTCTAGCAACAAGTTTTTTGCATGGCAACATAGGAGAGAAGAACCTAGAACCCTGAACAAGCTACTAAGAACTTCCATCACCCAATGCCATAAGTCATGCTGGCCAAAGGCTGCTAGTAATTGTGGTTTGGTAATATCTGGGGTGGCACATATTTCTCACATCATTGAACCAGTTTTCAATCTACACAGTATTTGAACTGTAGCATGAAACTTATTTGGTTGTACATTAGTTCCCTTTATAAGGATGGCCAAAGATGCAAGCTGATCTCCTCCAGATATTTGGGGCTGCAGTTGCTACAGCTGCTTGTTTTGGGCCATTCTTGATAGAATTGATGAAAATCAAAATCTAAAACATCTGTAGAGTACCAATTATCTAGCTCTAATTGGTATTGATATTTACAAGATCCTTACTGGTTCCCAGACTACAATATTAAGTAATTGGATGCTTGTAACCATTCAAGGTGATTTTTGTAACAACTGTCCAGCACTTGCATTAATTTCATACAGTGGGGTATAGGACTAGAAGAATTTCTGTTAAACACCACATGGCTATTGTAATTTGAAGAAGCCCAAAGATAGACAAAATTAATTGAGGATTTGGGTAGTCCTCCACAATCATAGTAGATGAAAAGCAACCAAATGGCAGTATCTCTAATTATTGAGATATCAAATGTGCAGCGAATGCAGCTTCTTGAATCCTGAAGTCCAATTTGTCATATAAAATGGAGTGGGGTGGTCTGAAGCATCACCTTAATTATAAAAGAGGTCAACCACACAGTACAGCAAAATGTCTGTACTGTAAAATATGTACTAGAAGTGTTCAGCACAAACACTTATTTGGACTGGATGAAAAATGGCATGTCAATAATTTTTTTTCTTAGATTTCTATTTTAATTTAACTATGCATTCTCTAAACCTGGATTGTCCATATTGAGGAACTGAAATTGTGAGATAGGGTATGAGATTGTTGTTTTTCAATCAACCATCTCAAACATAGTTAGCTCACTTGGAATATATTAATTGTGAAATGCAATTTCTGATTTAAGATTTGTTAAGTGGAACAGCTAAAAACAAGAAAACAATGGACTATTGAAAATGAAATATAAAATATGACATGATTACTTGTGACCAGAGACAGAAAAAATTCCAAGAATTCAATTATGCCAAGGATACATATGGTTCTATGAGTAAGTGAAATTAACATGTTCTTCACATGTTCTTCTCATATGAATCCTTCATTAAATCAAAGAGGCAAATAATAAATAAATAAAACTCATTTTGGTCCTGATTTCTTTTCCTTCACACAACATAAATCCATCTCCGTAACATACATTCACTTTGGCAAAAGATTATACAACTGGTTATTTTCTTTCCTTTCAAACCTGGGATAGATAATGAATGTCCCAACAACAAGTTAAAAATAAATCTTTGCCAACTTTCATTCTTATGGCTTTGACATCATATGCCATCCTTTTCCCAAAGCACCATTTCCTAGTGTAATGAACTTTGGAAATAACAGTAAAAGAGGAAAGTGATTAAAGAAGAAAGTGATATCATGCTTCTGAGATATGAATAGCTGCTGCCTTGAAAAAGTAGAAGAGGACAGCTACAGAAAGTAGAATCAAAGTCAATGGTTAGCTTTTGGCCCTCTGTGCACAGCACAGCATAGATAAACCAATCCAAGCATAGTTTGCCTTAGTAGCAGCATGTGCTGCATTATCATTATTTGTAGACTATGACAGCCACTGATGAGATTAGGAAAACTGGGGGGAAATCCTATGTGATTCTTGCCCATCAATGTAGTTCTAGTAGTGAAATGATTTGTCCTTATTCTACTCTTGTTTCCAAGTATTCATTTAGCCACTTAACGTAACATGACAATCTGCTTATTTCACATTATTTTCTCCTTTGATCCTTGTAACATTCAACTAGGAAGAAAGGAGATGGAAAAAGCAATGGAGAGCCAAGGAAAGTAGACATGAAAACCAGCCTTTCTTGCTGCCTACACATATTAAATGTTCACAGGGACACTTTGTTAGATGCCAAGGAAAGAAGACATTCTTAGCCCTCAAATTTCAGGTGGGAGGAGGCTGTGCCCACAGTTATCCACATTCAAAATTAGCTACATATTTAAAGAAGGGAACCACTTCCTCCCACCTTCCTTGTCCTGGTTAAGTGTTATAGAGATCCTCTTCCTAGTTCCTATCCTTCTGCCATGAGATTTTAAGTGCTGCGATAGGTTTTGATTATGTCCTTGATGACACGTCTACAGATAGGACAACAGGCATTAGCCATCTTCTTGAGTTTTAGCCCACATGTATAACACAGGCACATATGTCCACAGGAGTAAATCACAGTGTCCACCATATTCTCATAGCAGATAGTACACTCATCATTCCAAGATCCTGAGATGGAAGAGGAAAGAGGGGATTCTGGCATACTGCTTGGAGAGTTTGGAGCTGTACCTGCAAAATAAGAGACACTTTTACTTTTTAAATTTTAAACTGTAATCAGCTTTACAGTTGCCCTAGCCTAGAATTTCTAGGCCAAAGGTTCAAATATAGAGATTATGACCATATTTTTACAAAACTTCCAAAAAGCATCATCTAATGAATATCAATAGACAAATACTAAACTAGGTAGTTTAGTAGAACATTTGAATAAAAAGAAGTGTTAAATTCTCTTTATATATGTTTGTTGTGTGTGTGTTATTTCTAAAATACTACAGAGCTACATAACAATCTCTTAGATGACTTATCATTACAGAAACAGCATGTAGGCTTCAAAAGCTACTGTTTTTATAACTTTGTGGTTCATGTTTTTTCTACAATCACTTTTCCTGTCAGGTTTACAGTACTCTGAATTCTGGTATATGAAAGGTCTTTGAGTGCTTACCATATGTTATTCTTACTATCAAAATACATCATGAGATAACTTTTCCTTTGCTTTGCTACCGATTTATTATTAACAGAAATATTTAGTGTCTAAGAGAATGGGACAGTGGCCTAGAGATGGAGCTCTTGCCTCACAATCAGGAGGCTGTGGGTGCAATCCTAGGTAAAGGCAGATATTTGTTTCTCTGGGCAAAATGAGAATACATCTGCTCAGTGGTGGGATTCAAATTTTTTTACTACCGGTTCTGTGGGTGTGGCTTGATGGGCGTGGCAGGGGAAGGATACTGTAAAATCTCCAGTCAGAGGTGGGATTTGCCGGTTCTCCGAACTACTCAAAATTTCTGCTACCGGTTCTCCGGAACTGGTCAGAACCTGCTGAATACCACCTCTGCATCTGCTGCAAACTCCACATTGGCGACAGGAAGGGCATCCAGCCAGTAAACACTCAGCTCCATTCAGTTGCCTTGACTTCATCCCACAAGGGATTACGGGGGTCATTAAAAGACAAAAAAAATAGTCTCTAAGTCCAATTTAACTTCAGGATCCTTTTTTTTGATCCATTAGCAAAACTGTCATATGAATATCTTTAATCTAAAAGTACTGTTTTGTGGCATAAATGTTTGCGAGGAAATCATGGGAAAGGATTCCCACTCTATTTAGTGGAACTACGCTTTTTCCAAAAGCATTCTGCTTATATTTGTGCACAATCTTTCACAGGATTAAGCTAACCTGGGTGTCATCCTGTTTCAGCTTTGGCCTTAATTCTTAGCAACCCCATTTAAATCAGAGGCATAGGATTAAGGAAGTTGTTACCCAAAATGTTTAAATGGCACCAAAAGTCATTGAACTGTGCCTGTGCCTCCACAGATGGTGCTTCTTGCTAATTCCATATTGCTACTACATACATTTTGAATTTTTCCTTTTCTTAAAATATTGTGCATTTAAATGTTGAGTTCTTTGTTCTTTTTGGTGGATGGAGAATCTAACTCCTGCTCCTTGTGCATTGTGAGTGATCACAAAGAAAAAAAGAATATAGATTTTCAATCTTACATGACAAGAAATATTCAGGACTGGAAGGCATGCAACTTGGTGCTGTGGGAGAAATACTCACCACTGATTGAGCTACCAAATGGGCCAGAACTAGATATACATAGGACAGGATCAGAAACCTCATTGCAAAGAATGGAAGATGAATTGGGAGATGAGGTGGGTGAGCTTTGTGCTGATGGCCCCAGGTGTTCAGCCATGAGTGTAGAACCTGTGAAAGAAAGTAATATAATTTAGCAGATCAAATAGCCCTATTATGCTATAATTGGAACACGTGTGTTCTCATCCTCATTGTACTGCAAAGTTTGTTTATTTTCTTTGAGCCAGTCATAGTGCTACAGCCTAGTTTATCCCACCGAGTTGTGGAGCAGATAAAACAGCAAAAATTGTGACCTTTTTAATAATTAAAGCAGGGAATTTGGGAAGTTCTGTAGGAATAAGTAAGAAATGAATTCATGCAATTGATATGAAACAATCCTGGGTTTAGGACACATATGGGGTTCCAAAACACTGGTCTGATTATTCTGAAAGCAGAGAACATATGCAGTATACGGCAGTCAGGTGGATAGTTTATTCCCCTCTCATCTCTGCTCTTGCTATTTGCCTTCTGCTTTGATTAAAGAGTATCTCAGGAAATTAATATAGTATACTAAAAGCCTGGTGTGTGCAGTGAGAACAGAAATAGATGGGTGTGTGTGTGCATGCACACATACACACAAGAGAGGGAGATAACAAGAAAGAAAACAGCCTGTACCCAATACCTGAATTTATTTGCTCTAGATTTTATAGTCCTTTTGGTCTATATCACCTTATTTCTGTTCACATAGCTTATTTACATAACCTTTAGCTACTTTCATATCCTAACGTTTAATAAACAATGACAAATGGCAAAACGTTATTCATCAATGTAAAGCATATGGTTAGCGTATTAAACTTTCAAATTCAGCCTGTTAAATCTCCAGTCAAAGATTCCCTGACAGTCAATCGGAATGTTTTCTGCCTAAGGCATGCCGTGTTCATGTTCCTTTTTTTCCTGAAGAGTTTAAAGTTTACTTGTGGATTTCCCACTCATTTAAACCCATAACACTGAGCCTCAGTGGTGGATTATATTCATAAACAGTAACTGGTTCAAAGTCAAACTGAGCCCTCAAACATGTGGATTATATAAGTGTGTCAGACTTGGGGTGGGGGAGAGAAGAAGGAGAGAGTATTTATTATTTTTTTAAACCACCCCAGAATAATACCTGTCTAGCACTATATACAGAAAAGCATATTAAAATGCACAATTTGAATGAAAACGATAAAATGAAAAAATGCAAAGTAGGCAACAGTGAGATTGTCATTCAAAGTCTAAAACAATATGAATTAAAATACAATTCAAACTCATGAAAAGCCTAGGAAAATTAAAATGATACTAAATGTGAGCACCAATTTCCTCTCTATATAAAGTCAAATCATATTTAAATATACAAGTTATAACTTTTACATGCAATACAGAAACCAATCATTTCTTGCATTTTCTTACATTTAATTCAATACTGTTTGCTGGATCTAGACACACAGTACCATAACATTCGCCTGACACACAGAATATCACCTGTGTAAAGCCTTGCAGATTTGTTTCTTACATTATCATACTATTTTATGTTCCCTGAACGACCTACATTATTGGGTTGTTTAACAGGTTCCATAGTATATTATTCCATTTGTCATTTGAGGCAGAAAGATTTTGCCCCAACTCCCAAATAGTGTAAAATGAACAAGTACTGAAACAGGTTTTGCAGGTATGTAAGTAATAAGGCCTTTTTAATACTTTTCAACTGGGTTAAAAGATAGCTGGATAAAAGACAAGAAATGCTTCAGCATTTCAATAGTGAACAAATAACCCATCAGTAAAATGAACAATATGGGAAAGAAATATGGTAAGTTAAAAAGGAACTGGGAAGTTTTCATGAAGAGACTGGACAACCATTTATCCAGAATTGTAAAGGGTCTCTTGCTTGACTAGAATATCTCCAAGGTCTCTTCCAATCCTACTATTCTACTGTTTGTTCTAACTTACTTCTAGTTTTTGACTCTGTGCAAGTCAGACAAAGGTTCACAATTCAACTGGAATTCCATTAGTAATAACTGGAGCAAAGATTAGAAAGCTGCAGGCCTATCTTCCCAGTTGAGTAAGGTGACCAACTTTTTTACAATGAAAAGGAGGACACACATAAATTGAAGAAAAAAAACCAAAGCCACTTGCACACGGCGCTCTCTTGCGCACGGTGCACTCTTGCGCGTGGCACACTCAAAACAATTCTCCTGTGTGGAGCGCATGCGTCTCATAATCACGTCTCACCACACTGTACCGAGCCTTGACAAATCGTCATGTCAAATACAAATACATCACATCACACACAACGGATCAGATTGGCATCGATCAAATACGGAGATTTACAGATAAGTCTTCAAATATCAAAAAGGAGGACATGTAGGAGGACACTTTTCAAGAGAGGACAGAACTTACAAAAGGAGGACTGTCCTCCCTAAAGGAAGATGGCTGCTCACCTTACAGTTGAGAGTGCATACCTACCATTGCATGTGAAAGTCTACTACAAGTTTGAATAGACAAGTACAAGCACAGCCTGGACAAGATTCCAGAGGGTTAATTCTGTATTTACTGAAACAATATCATACCGTCTATATTATATATAATCTAAATTCATTGAATGTGAATGTTACTGTACTTTAAAAAAAATGCATTCCTTCTGATGATAATGCTTATATTTCGCCCTTCACAAAATGATTTGCAATTGTTTTTTTTTTTTTCTGTAAATCTCTTAATAATATATAAGGGCAATCCTTTGAATTAAAGTTAATTAAGGAACTCAAAGTTTTAGTTATATTCCATAATGTATTTTATTAATCAATAAATACTTAAATATCCAAATCACATTCACAAATCAGTTCTTCAGAAACAGATCTCACAATAATAAACTGACGTTACAATAACTGTTTCAACTTTCTGTCTTACGTGATATAGCACAAAACTATTCCTTCATTTTAATTTTACCATTTTAAAAAGGAAAGCAGTAAAATCAACAAAATCAGTAAAGCCACTCAAAATGCCAAGATCACTGAGGACAATGTTCTGACAAAAGTCAGCTGTTTCTAATGGACCATTATTAACATCAAATTTTGGCCAATCTGGGCAGTGCTTAACTATTTTCTTTTGGCAGTCAATGTCACTCTGCTTTTGTAGATAATTTTAAAATGTTAACCAATTAGCTCAGTTCAATAATGAGAACAAGAAAAGGAATGGGGAGACAATAGCCTCTAGCTTAAAATATGACTCAGAGTAACTATTCCCCATCAAATTCACAAGCAGACTCTGTTTTCATTTGCAGGCATATGTTGATCTGTTCTAGATCAATGGTTGCCAACTGGTGGGCCGGGGACCATTGGTGGTCCACGAGATAATTTTGGTGGTCCACAGAGAAATGTCCCCCCCACAAAGCAATTAATCCAGGCTGCATGGGAACACAAGGCTGTGCCGCCCACATGGCCCACCCACGTGCTGGCCCCCACCCTTTGGACGAGTGCAAACCTTACCTTGAGTAGAACCATGCAAGCTGGAACTGGAAGGTAAGACCAACGGTGGGGGAGGAAAATCCGCCCCGGGGTGGCTTGCTGAGGTTGGTGGGAAAGTCAGTCCCATATTCCAGAGCTGCAGTAGTCACAAGACTGGCCCTTTGGTCAGCAACTCCTCCTCCAGTCCATGGCAGGCCAGTGCACCCGGGTGGAGGAGCAGCTGCTCCAGGATGACCAAAAGGCCAGTCCTGTGGCTACTGCAGCTCTGGAATATGGGCCTGACTTTCCCACCAATGTCAGCAAGCCACCGTCAGTCAAAATTCATATTAGTGGTCCACGGGATTTAAAGTTATGAGTTTGATGGTCCCTGAGGTCCAAAAGGTTGGCGACCCCTGTTCTAGATTATATATTCCCTGAACCTTGCATTGTCCCAATTGAAAAGAAAGAATTTGCCCAACATGGCATTGTCCCAATTGAAAAGAAAGAACTTGCCCAACATGGCTTAATAGATAGCATTTATTGTCAACATGGCTGTTATTTTTAAAGACTCGATAAGTCCATGAATAAAGCACATTAAAGTAATCTTTAACTATACTGACCTTAAAGTAGCACTCTCAGATTTATTCCAATAAGATCCAAACAAAACTTCCACATGTATAAAATCTGAGAAAAGCCAGGTTATATATTAATGTGTAAAAGCAAAAAATTGAAGCTGGAGCATGTGTTTATCTTGTACTGAGTTAGGAAGAGCTGGAAGTTAATGCCCCTTTTTCTTTCTTTTTCTCTTCCCCCTTCTATTCCACAATCCCTTTTCCCATTCCCTTTCCTCCCCTTAACTTCTTATTTTCTTCTCTCTTTTTTTGTATTTTATATTTTATATAATAAAAAAGACTTGTTTCTCCCAGAGAAAAGTCAGGTGACTGATTGATGGTGACTTGAAAAGAGGCAAGAGACAGATCAGCAACAGAGACACAGAGATCAGTATAGTTTTCTGCCAAACTCAAAGATGGTCAGAGATTATTCCAACAGTGGGAAACAACCTTGTCCTGGGAGTACACTGAGGCCTGTCATATTTGGATTACAAAAAATTTGATGCCAACAAGTTTGTGAATTATTGTGCCATTTTGGCTTCACTTTCCCATTGCAGACAGCAGATGTAGAAGGGAAGACTGTGCTGGAAGAAAAGGATTAAATTCCTCTCCTTCCAATACAAATCCGTTATGGAGAACTCTGCACCAATCATTTGTTAGGCAAATTTTTGAACCAAGTTTCATGACATAATAATAAATATATTTTTGCACTGAAATGATGAAAACTACTGCAATTTAAAAACAACATAAGTTGAATGACAACATACATTATTGTTTATGTTAACTTAATGCAAGAAATCTTGCTTTCTTTAAAGCTAAACCTGCACTCACCAAAAGCCATTCCAATAATGGAACAAGTTTGGACATTTCAAAATGAGCCAGAAAATCCCATCCCAAATATATTTCAACCAAAGGTTTATGTGAAATATTCCAACCGAAATATATTATGTGTCAACTTCCTGAAGCAATTCCAATTAACATATGATACAGTGGTTAGTGTTTAACCCTGGTTTATTGAACAAGCACGTTATTGTTTGCACATAAG